ATGGGATAAAAAAAAGTCAAAAATATAAAGATTAACACGCCTATGATGAGTGAAATGTATGGGGTAAGATTACCGTCAGTAAGTTAATACTGTAAACATATCTAAGATTTGAATTCCTTCCCTTTTGTGAACATTTATGTAAATGTAGCATCAGAGCTTCATGTGACTACAAGCTTAGACGTTACGAATCCAACATTACAAAGTTGCAACATTTGCAAAACTACGAGTGCGAATCACAACTTTACGAGTAAAATTCATAATTTCTAAGTACATATCTCGAATTTGAGTGATAGAACCCCAAATTTACAAGCACAAATCAAACATTTTGGAGTACAGATAACAAATTTATGAGTACAAACCATACATTTACGAATAAAAATCACAGATTTTAATGTACGTCTATTCAACCGTCTATAAAGCTGTTTCACTCCTCATGCACCTCAAAATTGTTCACTGACCACCATTAAAACAAGAAAAAGGAGAAGACCAAAATGAAACCATCAAATGAACGTTATACTACTCATGTTGAAAGCAACATATCAGCAAAGATATAGGCCGTTTCTCAATATGCGTACTTGTGCGTTCTCATGTGCTTGTGAAACGTCATCAGCCTCAGCCCCAGTACTGTTCCTATTCACAAGAACCCCTCCCTCTCTAATGATCAGAGCAGACATGCATTCTAAAGATTGACAGCTATCCCAGCATGCACTGCAGCAGCAGCTTCCAGTGTAGCGCACAGAGCTCAGAGTATTAGGTTAAATGTTTCTTCTTATGCTGTGGTTCAAAAGTACATTTTAAGTTCATTTAAGTTGAGAACATTATACTTTTTAGCTTCACTATATGGTGTGTATACTGATATAGTGTGTAATTTAAGAAAAAGCTCCTATGTTGGGAGAACCGTGGCAACCACTGGCCATCCGGGATAGCCGCAGCCAGTGCTAACGTTAGCCCGTCTGCATTAGCCCTCTCTGGGTATAGCCGTGTGGGAAGTACCGCTGGCTCTGATGTCGATTTTTCTGTTTTATTTGGCAAAACTTTAAATTTGGTTTGTATTTATATGACTGTGTTAATTATTATTCCAACACTAAATGGAAAAAAAGTCATTTTATTATTATCTAGAGACTATTAATGACAGGAGCTGAAATGCCAAGTCTATACTTTCCTGTGGTCCTCTGAAGTACAGGCTTGCTGAGAACACACGTCCTTACTCGTGTTCTTGTGAACGGCCATAGTGTTCAATCTATAGTTTTACTTTGGTCTTCTTCCTTTTCTTTGCTTTTAATGCTGGTTGTAGATTTGTACTTGTACATTTTTGATAGGTCCTATTTTGTATTTGTAACTTTTCAACTTGTATTCCCACAGATAAAACTTCTGATGTCACATATATGTAAGAGTTGACCATGAAAATATACCAGTCAAGCCTGTAATGTTGTTTTATACAGACGGCTGTCTTACCACATAGAAACATCAGGTATTGGTGAGAAATAAGGCAGAGTAACATTAATCCACCAGAGGGCGCTGTTTGCTAAAAAATAACTTACATCTGATATTCTACCTTATGGTACATCATTCATTGTTAAGTAGCTGTTCTTCTTCTAATAGTCACAGGAATAAATGGTTTTATAACAAAATGTTCTTTAGTGACCGAGCGCAGGGATGATTGCTCATCAGGCAGCATTTATACTTTAAGGTAAATCAGATGCTTGAAGCCTCACTTTCACCAAAATGAGGATGAGAAGGACATTTTATTTCCCATGAAGAAGGTTGAGTGGGGTTGTGTAAAAGCCCTTCGTCGAGGTTAGTTAGGTGTGCATGGACGGCACCCTAACAGGCAGGTGGGCACAGCTTCAGAAAACAGCCAGACCCTGACCAGATTGTTCAGCTGCAGCGAACTTTGGCCAAGAAATACGCCACACTGAGGAAGATCCACACCACCAGCAGGTTGGGGCTGAGAGCCAACAGGGGCAGGGAGTACATGAGGCTGGGGTCCAGCCGCAGGTCACGCACTGGCAGCAAGCCGCTCAGGTTCTTCTGGATCACCCCTTCCCTTGTCCCAACGCTGCCCAGCCGCAAAGGAGTGGGGGAAGGAGAATAAGGAGGCAGAGCGGCAAAAGAGGAGGAAAAAGCGACGGATGAAGAGGAAGGGAAATAAACAGATGGCACGCAGATACACCAGCAGAGAGATGGCAAATTAATAAGTGGGATGTGAAGAAAGAAAAAAAAAAGTGTTGACAGAAAGCAGCTCCCACAAGGGAGGATATAAAAACAACAACGATAAACAAATAAAACACAATCCAGCAAAAAATAGGGCAGTTACACGACAGGAAACGTGACGGGAAGCAGAGGAGGAAGAGAGGAGAGAAAAAAAGGAGAAATTAGGAGAGATGTTCTGATTTTAAAGAAAGGGAAGAAGAAACAGCAAATGGTCTACCATGTTTATATTGTATTAGACATGGATGAAGATGGAAGAGGAGGGAGAAGCTTGAAGCGGAATACATGCAACTTCAATTAACCGTTCCTTTATCCCAAACGTGCATCTGGGTTCAAATCAAATCAAGTCATGCTAGTCGGCTGCAAAAGGCGGAGGAGGAAAGGAAGACGGATGTGAGGAGAAGGAGAAAGATGGAGAGACTTTAAATAGAGTCGTGTATCTTGGGGGTTCTTGTACCAGACAGACAAAAATATTTGGAGCAAAACCGAACAGAGATGTTGGGAATCACATTTACTGGGGATCAATATCATGACAGCTCAGTCATGCTGTTACCTGTCTCAAATCACCGTCTGGTTTCTACAAACACAAAAAAAGCTAATCTCTTTTCTTCTTTATTGTCATAGCCAAAGAATACATTAAATGAAGATTCATTGATTTTTCTTGTTTTTGGTGTTCGTTATCTCCTTTCTTCTTTAACTGATTTCACATTAATCGAGTTCATTTGGATTTAATAATTGAATGCAGGCTCAGCTTCATCTCTCAGTTTTAGTTGTTAATCTATGGTACTAAACAGTGACAGCTTGCTCTGGTATGGAAAAAGTGATAAAGCAATGTCGAATAAAACATTAACAATTAAACACTGACAATTTGAACATCAAATAAAATCAAACATTGCTACTGAAACAGTCAAGAGTTATGATGATACTCTGGTTTCATCAACCTAAAATGAGAGTATCATCTGCATAAAATGAGAGTATTATCAACCTAAAATGAGAGTATCATCTGCATAAAATGAGAGTATTATCAACCTAAAATGAGAGTATCATCAG